AAGCAACCATAAAGATCAAATGCAGCTCACCACAAATAGCTTGGAAGGGGGCTTGACCTCAGCAAAGTCTTTTTCAAGGAAAAAGGTTCAGACCATTTTATGCCTTTTCGGAAAGAATGCCAACAGCTGTAGAAAACAGGAGACACACCTTCATCCAGTTTTCCCTTAAGCTACAGAAAGGACATCCAACTTAGTCATTTTAGACCTGTGGACTTCAACTCCCACAATTCCCTGGCCAGCCATGCATATGGGGGAATTGTGGGAGTTGAAGTCCCTAGGTCTCAAAGTACCCAAGGCTGGGACGTCCCCGAGCTAGAGACTTTCTGACAGACCGAATGGGACTGTTTCGCGCGAAACTGAAGAAATATGACAATAAAGCACCGCGCGAACCGGGAAAACCTATTCAACCCCATCGAGCTGCTCTGTAAGCCCAGATATACCCTCGACAATGCTCACGTTGGGGTTAATTCACCAAGCCAAACAATGAATTTCTAAATTCCTCCGACCCAACGCATTTCTTTTCCAACACCTCCCTCCCCCAAACCCCACTTCCGCTTACCGCCGGTGCTTTGGACTCCCGCTGTAGTAACTCCACCTCTCGACTGACAAGTTCCTACCCTGAGTACGCATGCGCTCCTTTGCTTCGTGCGTTGATAGATGCAACCTGTTACCGTAGGAGGGATGTCTCCGCCCTTCCTGCATTCAACTGTAAAAACAGTTTTGAGTCGGTAAGACAACAAAACGGAGAAGCTGAGTAGAAGCTTGAATTTTAAGATCGACCACCCTGCCCGAGCTGCTCAAAAGCTTCCACTGTGATACCTAGAGCGAAGCTTTTAGTATCTCTACTCAACCAGGGAGTAATAAGTATTTTTTCTCTGCACTCTGCGACAAAGGCAATAACGCGGATTATAAATGGATCAGAGTAACGCGTTTACCTTAACTGCGCATCTATTAAGACAGGGAAAAGTTATGCAACACCAGGCTTAATAGATTCCAAACATTACCAATTTCGTTGCATTTAAGTACAATGACAATAAAGATTATATTTACATTGTGATTGAACTTTAAGCAATGAAGATTATTTTACAACAATGCAGCAGCCCATACTGGGGCTTAAAATTACACCTGGTTCCAGTAAATTAGGATATCCCAAATTGCTTGATTGTGTTGAAATCAATTTAACGATTGCACCTTGGGAAACTGATTTACTGCCAAGTCTGCAAAGTGTGGATGACAAAATGATCTTTCATATTGAAACAAAGCTCCCCCTGCTGTATTTATTTAAATCAAGCTTTATTGGCGGTCATATGCTTCATTAAAACTATGCTTTGAATTTGCTTCTCTATTTTTTTTTACAATGAATTAATCCTCTATTTCTCATCAATCCTCTATTACACTTGATTGTGACTTTTACTTTTATATCAGTCTTTATCCTAATTTGATAATTCCCCTTTCCCCCAAATGTGTTCAGTATTAGGTGTTTGTTGTAGAACTGTCATATTCATACGGATTTACTAGGCACCTACATGCCATCAATAAATTGTTGCCCTTACATTTTTTGTTTCAAAGTACAGGAAAATTGATTTCTTTATAAAGAATGGGAAAATAATTCAATCACAGAAGTGTGGACTGCTTTTAACATTGATTTCAAAAAGAACACTAAGGTGAATTGCCCTATTCCATGTGGTTCTGTCATATTGTAAAAGCACTCAAAGACAGCAGATGGAAAAAGTGGTTTATTTGCTGATGTGTGGCAAGAACAAAGATTATATAGAATTACATTTTTCCAGTTTCATAGTTGCTCTTCAGGGGTTCATATGAGCTGTGCTCAATCCCTGTTCCAGATGAGAAGCAATATTAATAATAAATCATGAGAATGACATACATATTCTCACTGTTCAAAATGTGTGGGCAGAAGCCACAAAATGTATCAAGCTCAAATTTGACATGACAGATTTATAGGATTGCAGTTTCAATATTCTCTTATCAACAAGATCAAACTTTTATTTTCTAACAGCAAAAGCTTTTTTATGTCTTGGCACCTTTACTACATGGAACTTTTTTAGTGTGTGTTCCTCATTTCTTTATGGAACAAAAAGGCCAACCATCTGCCATGCATATATTACAAAAAAGGAAGGAAATCACTGACTTGAGTTTGAGCTCTCGTCACTGTCCAGCCTACTGAAGAAATGTAAAACACTTAAAAGGCCTTGAGTTTCATAAATGGATAAGTGCTCATATTGAGCTGACCTGTTCTATAATTGAGCCAGCTAGAAGAAAAATGCATAGCAGGATCCTTAAGTTATTTATTTTGCAGGGGAGAGAATCCTGTCTGGAGGCCAGAATAGTTTTGAGGGTTTTTTTTTCTGCAGTTGCTATTGCCTATGAAGCCCAAGCAACTGCTCCACTCGAGGGCAGAATCAACAGGTTTCAGGGGACTTTCAAATAATATACTGTATTTTCCCGACCCTGTCTTATTTTCTTTCAACCCCCAAAATAAGCGCTTGGCCTTATTTTCAATGAGGTCTTATTATTTTTGAGGTACAGTAGGCGGTGAGTGTGGTCACTTCATGGCTGCTGCTGTGTTGCAATATTTTGGGGAAAGGCTGCCAGAAAAAAGAAACATTCAACTTGAACCCTTTCTGGGGAAGAACACTCTGCTTCCGGACACAAGAACAAGGACACTGTGCAATTCTGTGCACTGTTAAGTGCTGTAAAGTGACATGAAGGGTAATTGTTTTGCCACAAGTGAATGCTGCAATCACATCTACATATACATGTATTTTGATTTATTATGGGAAATAATAAATAGACCGCTTGAGACTCAGATATATATTGTTCAATCCACAGCAGTTGGAAACCTTGTTGATTTTCTGCTCTTTATGCAGACATCTTCATAGATCTTGATCCATTTCTGCCCTCCAAAGAAACATTCCCCTTTTTAGTTGACAGTTATAATCTTGAAATCATTAGATTATCTTGACTGATTATGTTTATGAACCCACTAAATGGCACTTCAGATTAATAATTTCCTTCTGTATCATAATCCAGACAAAGCAAGGATGTTTATCTTTATTCACTGGGCATTTGGTTTAATCAAAGCAGTTACGAAAGGTGAGAAATGAAGTAGGCTGATGGTATACTGTGTCACTACTAATCCCACTGCAATGAGAGAGGGCAATGACACATGGGTAATATCAGCACTGGGACAAAAAAAGGAGGTTCTTGCTCCCAGTGAAAATTAGATATTAGATATTCTGGATTTTTTTTAAAATGCCCTTTTATTGTAAAATGGACCTAATTCAATGTCATTTTAATTGCCCCTTTTTGTTTCCAGATTCTTTTCCCAGATCCCATGGCAAGCAAAGGGCATGACTGACGCACAACATATCTAGATTTTAAAATCTTATAATCTATCATTAATTTGTTTGCATTTGACTGTCTCAGTGCTTAACTCCAGGTGCTCTTAACTCAGGCGTAGGTGGCAAATTCAAGCCGTTGGTGTTGATTCGGGGTTCAATAAGTGGTGCAGCTGCTTCCTAACAGCCATCCCAATAAAAGAGAACATTTGTAACTTGGGGTTGAACTATGGGGTCCTTGGTGCTCCCTGAGCTTGGTTGTTTTCTTGCAGATGTTTCATTGACCAACTAGGTAACATCATCAGAACTAGAAGGGAGTGGGGTTTCTAAACAGACCAAATTCCTTTCCCTTCTAGCACCGATGATGCTACTTAGTTGGGTGCAGGGACGCGGTGGCGGAGTGGCTAAGATGCTGAGCTTGTCGAGCAGAAGAATAGTTAACGGTTTGAATCCCTAGCAGCTTGTACTTGCCCCAGTTTCTGCCAACCTACAGTTCGAAAGCATGTAAAAATGCAAGTAGAAAAATAGGAAACACCTTTGGTGGGAAAGTAACAGTGGTTCATGTGCCTTTGACCTTTAGTCATGCCGGTCACATGACCATGGAGACGTCTTGGGATAGTGCCGACTTAGAAACTGAGATGAGCACAGCCCCCTAGAGTCGGGAATGACTAACACATATGTGCGAGATGAACTTAGTCTAATTAAATGCCTGCAAGAAAACAACCAAGCTCAGCGAACACCAAGGACCCCGCAGCCTGATCTCAAGTCTCACCTCCAGGAGTCACTACAGAAACCACCTCTTCTGCTTTGACTGAAACCCGAATCTTGGACTCAGGAGAGAGAACCCCGAATTCTCCTCGATCGGCGCGTAGTCCCTGAGGGACCGTCCACAATTGGGGCTTCCCGTAAGACTCGTTGGCGCTCGATTTAAGTGCAGCAAGAGTGACATCTACCGCACTTTTAACCGACCCGCAAGACGCTGGCACAAGCCTGTCAATAGTTAGAACTTTTGACTGCGAACGACTCTTCCTCGCTTTGCAAATTGTTCTAAGAATACAAAGGAAATAACCGTAGAATCTCAACGGGGTGGAGTTTTGCTGATCGTTTGCAGGCTTGGTCTCAGCGCGGGTTATTTAAAACCATCTTCCCCAACCTGGTCTGATGGGCTTTATATTCCCGCAGCAACCAGCAGTGCTCATACATAAAGCCTTAGAACAGCTTTCGCCTAAGCGAGGCAAGATTTAAATATTTGTTGAAGCGCCATTCTCTTCTCAACTTCTTGTTCCTGGGCTTCCTCTTGCAAGTTCCAACTCGGGCTGCTAGGCATCGAAGCAAAATTCGGGATTGGCCTCGAAGGTGCTGTTAATCCTCGGCTATTGTGCTAGCCAGAACCACTAAGCCGAGGAAGCCTTTCGGTTCTGCGAAATTGGCGCTTGCGGAACTCCCTAAAAAAGGGAACTCAAAGTGGCCTTAGCGTCCAGGGACTCCTCGCGCCCTTCAAGACCGAGAGGCGCGTTGTGCCCATCCTTGCAGAAGCTGCGCCCTCCCCATTGGCTGCTTCCGACGAGGAAGGTGTGAAATGCGGAAGTTTCCCGCGCCGAATTGACAGCAGCCCCGGCTCGGCTGCCTGTTAAGTGAGCAGTAGCCGCCGTTCTTGAAGCCTCCATGGCTACTCTGCCCAGTTCCGATCGGAGGGCCTTTGCCCTGAAAATCAACAGGTAGGCTTGGTTGGTTTCCTTGCGCTTGGAAGGGGCTTTGTTTTCTCCTTGCACTTCACCGGCTCCGCGAGTCGGGCAGCTTTTGCTGGAGCGCCTGGAGGCTGATTGGGTGGAGTGGGAGGCGGAACGGAGAACCGCGGCTTGAGCAGTGAGTAAGGTGTGGGTGAGGATGAGCTGCGGATCTGGTGAGAGAGCCACGCGCCAGTGTGTAGAGACGCGCACATTCAAGGGATTTTATTCTGGCTGTGTACAGAACTCCCCTATGCCAGATTAATTACTACTTTAGAGAAGAGCTTAATGATGGGAAAGACTGAGGACAAAAGAAGAATGGGACGACAGAGAATGTGGTGGCTGGATGGAGTCACCGAAGCAGTAAGAGTGAGCTTAAATGGACTCCAGAGGATGGTAGAGGACAGGAAAGCCTGGAAGAACGCTGTCCATGGGGTCTCTATTGGTCGGATACGACTTTGCAACTAACACCACTACAGCACAGCAAGTGTTCAACCTTGGCAACTTTAAAGACTTGCAGACTTTTTAACTCCAAGAAGTCTGGCTGGGGAATTCTGGGAGTTTGAAGTTCACAGGTTGCCAAGGTTTGGACACTTCTGCTCTAGAGACAACAGTTTTCTTCCTTAGAAAAGCACCATCCCTGGTAAATAATTATGCAAAGACATTATTTGTCTAGGGCCTAGGCAGTTATTTGTTGTGTAAAACATCTTTATAGTTCTGGCAAGTAGAAAGTGTTTGGTCAGAACTTGCTCTGAGCATTTTTATAATGTTATCCGTAAATCTTTTAACAGGATGGTTTACTTCTTTAAGATGACTTAATTTGGAATAATTCAAAAGACTTTTCTGGAGTTTTCCTATGACCTGTGTACGTGGTATAATGAGGCTTTTTCAGCAGTTAAACTCTGCAATCCACAAATCAGTCCTTTTGCCCTTTTTTTTTTACAAAGAATTTCTGTAAATATTATGGGATTAAGCTGGAGGCAAGACAGTGAGGAAATAACATGTAATTTGTGGTTACAGTGTGTCATGTCTTACGGTTTGTGCAATCGCACAGCAGACAGAAATTTAGGGCAGACTTTTATTAAACACCACTAAATAGATTGACTTGCTGAATATGTGGTCACACACACAAAAAAAGACCTGACATTTAGAACTGACCAGACTTTTAGCAAGTGTTAATTTCATGTGAGATACTTTTTTCCAAAAGGAATAATATATGTAAACCTATACTTTTTGCTTTTGCCTTTAGACTATATTTTTCAGTACCCATTGCAACAATATTATTAGTCAATGAATTCATTTTATACTTCATTGCGTTTATTCAATTTATTTCATAATGTGATTTTATACTTCAGTGAGTCCTTTATGTTTCTTACAGAATTACATTTTAAATCATTATACATTTTGCTTTGCAAATAGTACTGAGTTGTTGCAAAAAGACAGGACAGTTGCAGTTGTTAATCTGTAGTAATGATATTGATACAGTATCATTATTTATCTGTATATTACCAGATTTACAACTGAAATATCTCCCAGGCTATTTTCTTTTAATCCAGTATGGCACTACAATATTTATTTTAATATTTCAACTCTAATATTAATACTACAGCTATAATCATTCAAATCCTTATGATATTGTAGATTGCACTATGGAGTGTTGTTTTTGGCCATCCAAAGCTGTGATATTACATATTGTGGATAAACAGTATTATGTTTATTTACAGAGTGCAATAGAGATAAAAGCCCGACTATATATTTTAACTCTAGATTCTGTAATCTTGTTAGATCACATGAAAGACAAGAACACATTTTGTAACTACTGTTCTTCATTTTAATTTTAAAATCCTTTCCCAAGATGAAAATAAATTAATTTTGTAAAAAAAAAAAAAGGACTACAGTCTTGAATAATAAATTATTTTCACTATAGAAAACAAAGTGAAACAAAATATCTCTTAGATTTTTGGACTGGAACTATGGCAGTTTGTGAGATCAAGAGGGAACATCAGAGTTGTCGGAGAGGGACCAAAACCTTACATGTACTTTACAACATACTTTACAACTGACTTTTGAACTTTATAATGCACCTTGCCTTGCCTGTTATAATTTTTCTTCTGCATTGCATTTAATTTTACGGTGTTTCCTTTATTTCTTTAAAAAGCAACCATACTTCATATCTAGGGGTCACACTTGGAAATCTTTCCAAGATCTTCCTCAGCATGTTATCCAAGTCAGGTCCCTAAATTCATTGTTTTCTTTACAAAATAGAACATAAAGCAAAGATTGTTCTGGGCTATAAACCATGATATCTTTTGGAGTAAAACCCAGAAAATGAATGCAAACAATTCCTGGGTTTTTGGTTTTTGTTAGTTCAATTCATTCTTTCCATTTGTGGAAAGAACCCAGCTCATGTGATGTGCAGGACCCAACCTATTGTCTGCAGAGAGTCATGGCAGTGACTTTGAGTGAAATATTCAGAGGCTGTTACAAAAACAGAAAGGGCAGAAGCATTCCTTAAACCTGGGGGAAGAAGGTTTTAGGAAGACACTCAGATTGGCCCTTTTCTGATATTGAGTTGTAAGGAGAAACACAAATTTAAAAATTGTGCTAATAGAGTTTATCTCAGCAGTGTCCAATTTGGTAACTTTTAAGACCTGTAGACTTCAACTCCCAGAATCCCTCAGTCAGCCATGAATTTTGGGAGGTGAAGTTTACAGGTCTTAAAGTGAACAAGATTGGACACCCTTGGCTTATCTCAATAAAGCTTCCAGTTCTCTTGTGGAGTCAGTTTCCTTATCATGTCAGCGTTGAAGGACTTACGTTGTCAAACAATAAAACCATTTTCTGTCTTCATTGTCCTTCTTAATGGAAAATGTATCTGTTTTTTAATTTCTGTCACCTGGTGCAAGTTCTTTGCAAACCTGAATTAAAGCTGTAATAGCAATGATCTTATTATACAACATCTACAAATTCCAAATGATCCATTTTGAGGTTGTGCAAAAAGTAGAAAATATGTTTTATTCAAGTCAGTTGTACTCTGGTTGAGTCAAAAACTAAAATATTTGTAATGTTCCGGGGTTCAGCTCAGAAACAAAATTGAAAAGGGTCTGCAAATTTTCTATTTATATACATTTTTATCATTAAATTGTGGACTGTTAATTATTTTTCTCATGATAAACACTGGTGGTCACTGGATAGACATTTGTGCATAATAAGAGAAAGTCTAATGATGGCAGAATAGCAGTTTAATATAATGCAATATATCCTGCAAATGTTATCTAATGATGATAACATGTGATGAAAGAAATGTCCTTCTGGGTTCGGCTCCAAGTGGGGAAAAAGACACTGGAGACATGGAGGCTGCTTGGAAAGATGGTTTATTGTTGGACAGGGCCACATGGCTTGAGCCCTGAACAGAAAAGGTGATCACATGCTTCAATGTTGGTGGAGAAGAAGAGAAGGGCCGAGGGAGGGGCTTGCTAGGCTTTTTATAACCTGTTCGGCCCCACCCATCTATTTCCTGTTCCTGTGTAAGAAATGTATTCTGATTGGTTGTCAGACTCCCATAGGACCATTCAGGGGCAACATTCTGGGCTGTGTTTTGAATCCAGGTATGTTTGAGTTCTCAGATGCCATGTGGACAGTTGGGGCCAATATTATCATGCCTTTACTCCCATCCTCTCTGGGGCTCCAGTGGAGAAGTCTTTATTATGTAAAAGGGACTAGCCT